GGGAACACAAGACAAGTGCAGCTAGCAAGAAGGCAAGTCTCCTCGGTCCTGCAAGATGACACTGATTTAGAGCTGGGACTAGCAGGACATCATATGATCCCAATCAGAAATAGCAGGATGAATACAGTTCAGTAGGTAACCAGATCCCAAGCCATGATGAGCTATATACAGGAGATAACTGTTAAAACCATAAACTCTGGAAGCCTAATGGTAACCAGTTCAGTTGGTAACCAGTTCAGCCCACCAACCAGTGGTGTTACATGGACAAAATAAGAAGTGTTCATAACTAGTTCCTGCCTTCTGGATCACTTGTAGATTTCTAATGATCTTCAAAGGTAGAATCTTCAAAGCATGTAGAATGCTTTGTAATTGTCCAAACGAGAGAAGGTCATGGCACAAGTCACTGTGAGAAGGCGTTTCAGTTCAGAAAGAGATATAACCACCATACAAGGTGAATGCCTGCTGGTTACAGCTGACACCTGACTGTTAGTTCTTGCCAGTAATAGAGCAATGGAAAGCTAACAGGAAAGAAATGGGACTTAAGCATGAGTAGCATTGTATTTATTATGGCACCATTGATTATGAGGTACTAAGAGATCTAGTGGGATACAGATTTGGCTAGAGACTGATATTTGTAGAAGACTAAATCCTGTTTATTCTTCTAAATGTGGGTTTTTCTGATGTAGCATAGTTTTATTTTCAAAATTGTACTCTAAAATTATAATAAGGGATAAAGAGTTCCTTGAGCCATCTCCTTGCTGACTACATGAACCATGTAGGCTTTGTTCTTTTTTCTTTTTGGCAACAATATAGAGATGGTTTATCACTGCCTTCTTCGATGATTTTATTTTGAATCTTCCAGTCTAGACTGGAACATCTAGTAGTCTTCCAATCAAGTATTACTTAGGTTTTGTCTTAGCTTTTCCGTTATCAACCAATAATGATAGATACTGCAATTGCTGTAATGCCATGCCCACAAATCCAAATAATCATAGTGAAACCAAACTCTTTCTCATCCTTTGCTGAAGGCCATCCAGCTGCCTTCACGGTTGTAAGTATAAGTCATATAAGTATTTGGAAACCATGCATATAGCTGCTGTAGATTGAATTATGCTGCTGATCATGATTTTCTGTTTTCTAAATCTAAATTATGAACATTTTGCATAATTTTTTATATTTGTACATTGGTTTTTAATTGGATAGTTTTTACATGTGGCCCTGAGTCACTTAGATGGGTCAAGCAGCCAAATTAAATTAATAATAATGATAATGACCAGCATTAAGAAGGGTGGACTAGGTTACAGTAATGATGGGAAAGACCTAAGAGACCAGGTTAGGGATAGATCATCACAGAAAAACCTTATCTATGTAGTTGCCAAGACTCAACACTGACTTGGTGGCACACATTATATCTCTCTCCTTTCCTCTCCTCTCCTCTCCTCTCCTCTCCTCTCCTCTCCTCTCCTCTCCTCTCCTCTCCTCTCCTCTCCTCTCCTCTCCTCTCCTCTCCCCTCTTATCCACTGCCCTCCCCTCCTCTCCTCTCCTCTCCTCTCCCCTCTCCTCCTCTCCTTTCCTCTCCTCTCCTCCTCTCCCCTCCCCCTCCCTTCCCTTCCTCTCTTTTTCTCTTTCTTAAAAAAGAGCATACAACTGGCAGGGGACAACTTTCTCCACAAGAGTAAATATTATTTTAGCCTCATTATTTAATGAATTACGTTTTGGATCTATCTTCTAAGATCATGAGAGACAGGATGCCAGGTTGGAATGAGGATAAGGAGGATGATAAATAAATATTTGTATGTGCTGTGCAAAAAGGACCGTTTTGAATATTCCAAGTTCCTGTGATCTTGATAGGTTAGTTTTTGTCCAGTCCTTCCAAGGAAGGGAATGTAAAGGGAATAACTTCTAACATGGCTTAAATCTGTGGTATTGCAATGTCTTAAGGAACAGCTGGAATCTTAATGTAATAGGGGGTCGAATGTCTCAGCTCCATTTGATTTATTTCCATTTGCTTGTTTCATCTTTTAGGGATGTTGCTTAAGCAACCGTGATCCGAGCCTTGCAATTGAAATGGCTCATAAGATTGGGATGCTCAGTGTTAGAAACTCAGGAGCATTTCATTTTAATAAGAGCACAACAAAACAAGAATGAAAACATACAAACCAATTTAGCTCCTGACAATTTGTAATTGCACAACATAGTTCTCATCAGATTGCAAAGGCATTGTTTCACATAGATTAAAACAATTCACCCCAAAAGAAAGAGTGCATTAAAGTTTATGTATTACAACTGCATATGGAAATCAACAACATGCCTGCGGAATGAACAAGTTTGTTTTATAACAGGGAAACTGTCTGTACAGAGACAATTAGTCATCAAATAATGAGGATGAACATCTAATTGCTTATTCTAAAGCACATTTATTTATGATGCTAGTTCATATAAAGCTTAGTCTAAACAATTTTCTACTCCCTTTTTCTATAGTTATATAGAATTGATTCTAATACAAATTGAAAAGACAATGCACAAAAAAGAAATACTTTCTGCCTCCTCTGAAAGTAATAATTGTGCTTGCTGAGTGGCTTACAAATTTGGATGAATCAATTAACAATAAAAAGAACAATTCAGTCTCCTTTTGGAGTAAATAATAAATTTATTGGAATTCAGTTTCAGTAGACAGAGCCAAAGATCACATTGTAAATAGCCATTGACTAAATGTTCAAAAGCTTTCCTGAAATGTTCAGTCTAATGAGAACTGTGGCACAAGAAAACAGAATGCATTTGTTTATGGAGTTTTGCACTCATGTCAGAAGCACCGAGGATGCTTTTGGATTGAAAGAATTAGCTGGTGACATCACTGTTGCCTGGGGAATGCCAAGTTGGGGGCTTTTTTCAAGTCCCCAGCAGGAGCTGGAGCTCGCCCCATCCCAGGGCAGCACTTGGGTCTCTAACGTGGGCTTGCTAACCTCCAACCCAGGATCCTAACCATGAAAGCCACCATGTTTGGGGAGTTGAAGGGAGAGGAATCTTAATTTTATAGGAAGACGGAGTATGGTTATACCTAGAACAGTATTTCTCAATCTTAGCAACTTTAAGAAATGTGGACTTCAACTCCCAGAATTCCCCGGCCAACCCTGGTGGCTAGGGAATTCTGAGAGTTGATATCCACACCTCTTAAAGTTGCCAGTGCTGGGAAATGCTGATTAGACCATCTTGAATTGTTATATTTTCTCTTGCTTGCAGGTTTGCCAAGATCTGCAAAGATCAATAATAAAGATGCAGGAGATACTTTTCATAAAAAAGACATGATAGAGAAAATGCCTAGATATGCTTTCTACATAGGGAATAACTGCAATTTTAGGGAACATGTAATTCCTCTCCTGTCTCCTGGCAGAGACCTTGACAGTCCTTTAGGCAGTGGCTTCAGGATAAATGGAGCTCCCTAAGGAGAAGAGGATAATTTTCTCCCACACAGACAGTAAAACAGTGGTAAAAAGTAGTAAAACTGTGAGAGCCAGAAAACATTTCACTGCTCAGCAGATAAGGTGAGACCACCAGCCATTCTGAGAGTCTCTGTTTTCCTTTTCCTCTGTTATTAAAATGGGCCTGAAGAAGTTAAAAAAATGAAAAAAAACCAAACAAACCAAAAAACCAAGAAGGATTCTAGTATTGTCAATCAACATTACTACTGTAATCACTGTTAATCTATCACCATGTCTCAAGGCACTATTTAGAACCTCTCTTGAAATGCTCTACCTGAGAACATACTCTAATGCTACAGCAGATTAATTTTGGAACTATTGAAATTTCCTGACAGTTAGAATAATTAATCAATAGAATAACTTGCCTCCAGAAGTTGTAAGTGTCATGGTTCTGATGTTAAGACGAACAAAATCAGAACCCCGAGGCTAGAGATTTCTTCAAAGAACATGTTTATTGGTTACAAAACATCAGCATGGTCAAAAGTGAAACCAACTCTGAAATTCCCTCCAAAGAGTTACACTATTACAACCTCAAACTTCCCACCCCAGAGCTATGCAATCAGCCACGTTCCCCAATAGAATAATTTGGTGGGCTTTCTAACTAAACGCCCAACCCACAAAGCTAACTGATAGAATGACCTTGGTTCCCACGGGAGCCAGAATTGTTTAGACTAGCAAAAAGACTCCGCACCCCCTCCCTTTCTTGAGGCAACCTAGAATGAGCAAGATGGCTTCAGCCAGGTTCATTGTAGAGTTGACAGTAGGTGCTCCAACACTGGAGGTTTTTAAGAAGGAATTGGACAGCCATTTGTCTGAAATGGTAGAGGGTTTCCTACTTGAACAGGGCGATGGACTAGAAGACTTCCAACCCTGTTATTCTGTTATTCTATTATTTTGAAATGATGGGTGCAGGCAGCCACCAGCCAGACTTACTGGCCAGACTTATTTGTGTGTGTGTGTGTGTTTCACTATGGTTAGTCTTATTTTAAAAAGTATGGGAATGGAAACGAAAGGCAAGGGAGATGGAATGTTTCCTGTAAGGCAGTTCAAATGACTACAAGTTTATTGCATGCTAACACTCTCTATAACAGCAGTTCCCAACCTTTTCTATACCCCTAGAATGCTTCTGATATATTCTCGCACCCCTTACAAAAGTTTGAAATAATGTCAACAAATTATGTATATACACTATAATTTTGAAAACCTAAGTTTTTGCATCCCCTGGAATATCGTCTTGCACACCCGGTTGGGAACCCCTGCTCTATAAGAATTTGAAATACTAGAGGTCAAAGCAAGTTGGTGGTATAAGAGTCAACGGAATTCAAGATGGGGTGGACCTAATCTCTTGTGGGCATGAAGGGACTCAAGGCTGATGACATGCTTGAACCCTCCCTTGGGCTCAGCCTGGTCATCTCCTACATCTATACTGACTAGCCCTCTAGTTGGGTAGGCTTGGAATATGGCCAAAGAGGTTTTCCAACTCCTGGTTGCCTCTTACTCCCAAACTTGTGCAAACTTACTGGATGGAGTTCTCAATGCGGGTGATGGTGAGAAAAGCCGCTAGATTTGCAGTATAAGATGAGATGACGATCAAGGCAAACAGCCACCAGGCACCCATCATCATTCGAGTTGCCAGCGTGGTATAGGGAACTTCTCCTCCTGTTGAACAAGAAGGGTAGAGTGATCAGATTTTCATTGCAGAAGAAAATCTCTTTATTCTTAAGAACATGCTCATATAAAACAGCATCAATGATATTGGAGTTCCAGGTTGGAGTCCACAATTAACATCTATAGATGAAAAACATCAAAAGAATAAAAGACACTATTACATGATACCTAGAAATCTTAAATAGATTTCTGCTATATATCAAGAAACCTGGCTCAATATCTAACATAAAGAGCATTACTACAGAAGTATTTCTATTACTTTGCAATTTTTTTGCTATTGATTTTAATTAAACTCTCTGGAAATGCAGATATTTTTCAAAAAGTGATCTGGTATCAACACATCTATATATAAACACACCATATGATTGTTTTAGACAAAAGCATAGTTTCTAAATGCAATAATGCAATAATGCACACACACACACAACACACACACACACACACACACAGACAGACATTGGAGGGAGAAAAGAGAAAGAGGGAGGTATTAATTTATATTCAGCCATTAAGATCCAAGGTTTTTTTTCCCTCTGGTTAAGTTAATTGATAAAATAAAATCAATTGAAAAGTCCAATCAATTATTAAGCAAAGCAGTCATTCAAATAATACCTTTATAAAATTTTAATATCTGGATATAAATACATACATTTGCATTTTAACCCTCCCTCCCTCTCTGTTTCCTGTTATGGTAGGTTTGTTCACTCAGTGAACATGAATAATTTGGTTGATAAATATAGAGACAGAAAAATAGCTTATTTTAATAGTCTGGGTTTTGAGAACACAGCAAAAGTACCAAAAGAATAGATGGATGTGCCAGAATGATGAAGGAATACATTTCATTAACCCATTCTGCAATTACAATATATATTTTAACTTAGAGAAAAATTATTAAATTTTCAGACATTAATATAAAAGCCATTCTGAAAGTCAGAAAAGTATCAGTGTGATGGGCATGAATCTGAAATCTGTGAACAAAAAAGACATGATACTGCAAAAAAACTTTTTTCAGTTTTCTTTCCTCTCTATCTCAGTTGTATCTGAATCCATTATTCACTTACTTTGCTGGTTATAAACCTAGACACAGAACAAATATTGACAATAAACTGCATTAAATACCCATCTACCCACCAAAATACTTTACAGTTTCTCCTCTCTTACTTTGAAATTGTATCTAGTATAGTTAACTTCTTTCCCATTTAATACAACACAGGGCTAAAGAAAATGGTCAGGGCAAGAGGCCTCCTAAATAAATAAAATGACATTAATCATATATGGTTCCCACCAATACGTGCTATTTCATGTATAACACAGGCAGCAATTGCCTGTAGGATATGTGCCTGGATATGTATGTGAACCAAAGAGGTTTCAACTTACATTATCCTGACTTCAGTTTTATTATTTTATTTTTCTGGTGACGGCAGTGCAGGGGACAAACCGCAGTATTTTGAATTTAATTCCCAATACATATCCATTTTTTTTCTTTTTAATGACTCTGTAATCCCTTGCATTGGAATGGAGTCAGGGCAATTGAATAGAGCTCATCGTTTACTGGCTGGATGCTCTTCCTGATGCCTACATGGAGTTTGCAGCAGATATTTTCTCTTGCGCCCAGAGAGAGAAATATCTGCCGTTACCTAGGATTGAGCCCACAGCCTCCTGATTGTAAGACGAGAGCTCTACCTGTAGGCAACCATGTGGCTCCCCAATACATATCCAATATTCACTCATAGAAGTCTGGAAGCTGGAAGCATTGCTAACTATGAAAGGATGTGTCTATGAAATAATAATAATAATAATAATAATAATAATAATAATAATAATAATAATAATAATAATAATAATAATAAAGTTGGAAGGGACCTTGGAGGTCATCTAGTCCAACCCCCTGCTCAGGCAGGAACCCTATACCATTTTAGACCAATGGCTGTCCAGTCTCTTCTTAAAAACTTCCAGTGTTGGAGCATTCAGCACTTCTGGAGGCAGGTTGTTCCACTGGTTAATTGTTCTAACTGTCAGGAAGTTTCTCCTTAGTTCTAGGTTGCTTCTCTCCTTGATTAGTTTCCATCCATTGCTTCTTGTCCTGTCTTCAGGCGCTTTGGAGAATAGCTTGACTACCTCTTCTTTGTGGCAGCCCCTAAGATATTGGAACATTGCTATCATGTCCCTCCCTCTTCCATCTCTTCATTAAACTAGACATACCCAATTCCAGCAACCGTTCCTTATATGTTTATTTATTTATTTATTTATTTATTTATTTTCACTAACTTCTATGCCGCCCTTCTCCCCACGGGACTCAGGGCGGCTCACAGCATGTTAAAAAACAACACAAAAAAACATTTCCCCTATAAAACCAATTAAAACCAAATATATTAATGGCTGTGTCATTATTAAAATGTTTAAAAATTTTCCCTATTTAAAATTCACCCTAGGTCAGTCCCGCTTGTTGAAAAAGCCATGTCTTGAGGGCGCGGCGGAAGGTTGTTTTAGCCCCCAGTCCCCTAATCATATTTGTTGCTCTTCTCTGTACTCTTTCTAGAGTCTCAGCATCTTTTTTACATCGTGGTGACGAAAACTGGATGCAGTATTCTAAGTGTGGCCTTACCAAGGCATTGTAAAGTGGTATTAACACTTCACGTGATCTTGATTCTATCCCTCTGTTAATGCAGCCTAGCACTGTGTTGGCTTTTTTGGCAGCTGCAGCACACTGCTGGCTCATATTTAAATGATTGTCCACTAGGACTCCGAGGTCCCTCTCACGGTTACTATTATTGAGCAAGGTACCCCCTGTACTATACCTGTACATTTGGTTTTTCTTGCCTAAATGTAGAACCTTACTTTTTTCACCATTAAATTTTATTTTGTTTGATAGCACCCAGTGTTCAAGTCTGTCCAGATCCTTCTGTATCCTAAGCCTGTCTTCTGGAGTGTTAGCTATTCCTGCCAGATTGGTGTCGTCTGCAAATTTGATGAGTTCCCCATCTATCCCCTCATCCAAATCGTTGATGAAGATGTTGAAGAGCACTGGGCCCAGAACAGAGACCTGGGGCACTTCCCTTCATGTAGATGCGGTTCCAGGATTCTTTGTCTCCGTCAATGCTAAATCAGTTATTTTATTATGACGATCCCATTAAGCACAGTCTTTACCACTTTCTTGATTATAACCATTTGATTACTAGGTGTATATTAAGAAAGAATTGCCTAATAAATTTTTTAATAAAGGCTGCTATGTCCACCCTATTCTCCTGCAAATGCTGAGTTAATGATAAATGTCTTTGATGCATGTAAGTTTTGCCTTTAAAAACAAAACACACTATTAAATAAGATTTAGGATCAAAATTACTATCTTACGTATTTCAAATTTCTACCTATTTCTGAAAATGTATTATTGCAGAAAAAAAAATAGAATCTTGATTCTATCTGGAAAGTTTAATTTGATATTAAGACTTCAGGAAGATGAAATGTCTAACATCTGGAAAGTTAATATCAGAGTTGAACATTTTAAAAAAATAGAGTATTTTTATCTCACCTTCTTTTTGGGTGACTTTTTTTAAAAAAATCTTTCAATCAAAAAGCATTTGAACTGTATTTTTTAGGTAGAGATATAGAATAAGCCCAATAGACCTGATTGCTCCTTTCACCATCCAGTGTCGATCTCCATAATTTGCTGTGAATTTAATTGAAAGGAGTAGACTGGTAAAAGGGAAACCTGTAATTTCTCCAGTTATTTCTTGACGAAAAACTAAAAGCTGTTCCCTACCTTCTTGATATGAGATGAATGGTCCGGAGAAATAAAAGAACCAAAAGTCAATGTTTGGCTTTTTTTAAATTACTTTACTTTACTTTACTTTTATTGGACTTATATGCCGCCCTTCTCCCCACAGGACTCAGGGCGGCTCACAGCATTTTAAAACAGTATAAAACATTATCCCCGATAAAAACCAATTAAAAACAAATATTAGTCGCTGTGTCTTATTAAAATCATTAAAATTGTCCCTATTTAAAATTCACCCTAGGCCAGACCCGCTTGCTGAAAAAGCCATGTCTTGAGGGCGCGGCGGAAAGCTAGGAGATCCGGAATCGTCCGGATCTCGGGGGGTAGTTCGTTCCAGAGGGCAGGGGCACCCACAGAGAAGGCCCTCCCCCTGGGGGTCGCCAGCCGACACTGCTTGGCCGACGGCACCCTGAGGAGGCCCGCTCTGTGGGAGCGTACCGGTCTGTGGGAGGGAATCTGTGGCAGAAGGCGGTCTCGGAGATATCCAGGTCCGATGCCATGGAGCGCTTTAAAGGTGGTAACTAACACCTTAAAGCGTACCCGGAAGGCCACTGGTAACCAGTGCAGCTCGCGCAGCAGCGGTGTTACGTGGGAGCGACGCGTCCCTCCCAACACCACAATCCACAAACGAAGCTCTCAAATAAAAATTTGGAGAGGAATAGAAAATAAGGGCTGGAGCCAAGAATTGGATCTTGCTGGACTGCCATTCTGTCAGAGAAATTGTGTGCAATACAATGATTTTCAGTTTACTAACCCCTTGGGGGGGATGATGTCATGGATCTATCTTTTTTCAAAAGACTTAAGAGCTGTGGGGTCCCTGGTGCTCTCTGAGCTTGGTGGTTTTCTTACAGATGTTTTATTACCTAACTAATTAACACTACCACTGCTAAAATGGTAATGAAATGTCTCCAAGAAAACCATTAAGCTCAGAGAGCACCAGGGACCCCACAGTTCAACCCTTTTCTATAAGGACTTAATAACCATCTATCGTTCCAAGAACTGTGAGATCAATTCTTCAAGAACGGAAACAGGTAATCATTTTTAGACCGAGAGGAGTGCTGCACTTGTAAACATCTTTTAAAAACCCTCTGATAGCTCAGTAGATGATATCATGAGGCTATCATAGTAGGCAAAATTAAAAACTGAAGGCCCTTTTTGGTTTCTGAAAGGATGAATAGAGTTTTTAAATAGATCTAAAGCTATGTTTCTCGTCTTCAGT